TGTCCACAGCCGGATTTTGTCCCTACGATTTCACACCCCAAGTTCAAACCCCTAGGCCATCACTGCTCATGGGCCTATATACTATCTAAACTCTAATAATATGATAAAACTGAAAAGATTTAGCGTCGTAGTTTCAGCCTATTGACGTCCACTGTGGGACATATGCCTCTTCCCTAATTTTTCAGTACGACTGGTCCCCGCGCTTAAAATAATAACTTAAATAACAATTGAAGGCACATATAAGCTTGATATAACAAGATACTCATCAAATATATTTTAAACAAAATAGCCCAGCGCCCATATCCATCAACAACCAATAATTTTACGAAAAAGCGAGAAATAGGTTTAATAGTAGGAATATTAACTTTTGTTTCAATTCTGTTAAAGATCAAAACCGATAATTTCTTGTACATTGTTAAAAAATATTTATTTGTAATTTTTACATTGCTTGCATTTATATAAGAAATACAAAAATAACTAGTGCAACACGTATGCATTGATATCGTAACTAGTGATAACACAAAAGAAATACTCCACTGTAAAGTAAGTATTAAGATTTTTATTTCTAAGTGAATAGGATGTTCTCGGCCTTTGGGAGGGTTGTGCGGTGCTGCTTAAACTGTACATGGAGGATACGATCGAATTTCTAAAGACAAGCACGAATTATAAAAAAAATCCTATACTTGACGCTGGCTAATGCACAAATCGTGTCATAGCCATAAAAAAAAGTGAATAGGAAATTATGAATTTTCTTAAATTTTCCTTTAAATATGATCGTTGCTTGCATTTAATAAAGCCTCCACCTCGTTATACAAATTGTATTCGTCAAGAAATTTTCAGCGTCAGTAATAATTCACGTCAAAGCAAAGAATTTTGAAATTAGTTTCGCTTTGAGTTATATTTCACAGATATTTCTAATATACAAAGTATTTTTTTTTTTAATCAACATCGATTGGCATATAACGCTCAACATTATTTTATTTTATACATATAAAGTTACATAAACTATTATGGCGAAAAAAACACTGGCTCTATAACCTGTAGGCTTTAGCGTTAGATTTCAGATTTTTTTTTTCGTAATAGGCAAGTAGGTGATCAGCCTTCCCTGCCTGACACACAATACATAGAAAGTCCAATGCATAGCCATGATTCCAACGAACGACCGAAGGCATGAGAACTTGCTCCAGATATTAGGCGAACTGACATATAAATCTAAATGCCATTTTGACATTTAAGAAGTTCGAAATATTTTTAAATTTATTTATTTATCAAAAAAACACAATCATGTCCTAACAGGTGACCCATAATTAGAATTAAGAAATTAATAATAACAAGATAAAAAATTAGATAATTAATAAAATAACTTATTATTATAGGCACTAACAAATAGTTGAACTTTTGTCACTCACATGATCATTTGTCATCAATAAATCATTATTCAATCTGAGAGAATAAGCAATTGAATACTTTTTATAACTATTAAATTCAATAAGATTTATGAATAACGGAAATTGAAAAACGGCAATGTTACAAATTATTCAGGCAAGAACTAGCTTATTTCCGTAGTCAAAATCAATTATTTCAATAACATTTGCATGAAACTTACTATATACCTACTAGGTACACTGTTTTTCACATTAAGCATTTATTTGAATCTAATATGATTTATAAGAATATTTTTGCAAACAGATAAATGCGTGTATAAAACTCGTCACGATTTTAAATTTAGAAATACAAAAATATTTCACGTTATAAGTATTTATTAAATTATAATCTTAGCCAAAATCTAATAGAGAACTTATTAATTCGATTTTCATCTATTTTAAGGGCATTGCATACCACACAGTTCGTTGACATGAAGATTTCAATTTTTGTTGAAAAAAGGATTCGATCTTTCCTCTCAACATGTTTGTTTGTATGTCGGGGCCATGCCTTGTTGGGAATTTTAATTTATTTTTTCAAGTCGATAACCGCTCGCTTTTATACCAAATGAAGTCCTGCGGCTTCGCTTATTAAGCTGCTTTAAATAAAAAAATGTGGGCGCGAAGGTAAATACGTTTTTGTGAATTGGTGAATGTACAATGTGTTTTGTGAGTTATCAAATTTTTATTCCTATGTATTATTGATAAGTGATGTAAGATATGATTAAAGTATTATATATTTGTTAAGTTCATAATTAAGATTAGCGAAAGACAGCTCTGTACTATACTTGCATTGTCTATTATTATAGTAGTATTGTCCCATAGTTGCAGCTCCTTACAAACATTATGTAAAACAAAAACTAGGCGATTAAAAAGAGCGGCGGAGAGTTTATTGCCAGTTCTTCTCTTCCGTTCTACGACCTTGATTTGAGAACTGGCAGTAAATGTAAAATTAGAAGCATTTAATTTATATTTATTTTTTGACGTTTTTGAGTTACCTATATGATTAAATGATATTGATTTTGATTTTTGAATATGATCTGTTAAACTATCCGTGCTATTTAATGTATCCTATTTATATTTAGTTACATTAAACGGTTAGCCAAGTATAAATCGATTTTGAGTTATGATTTTGGTTGACATCATGCAATCATAACGTCAACAGAACTTATTGACGCAGTGGAATGTTACCAAAACTTATAAAAACAAATACGTTAAGGAAAATTTTAATGTTATTTTTAACAGAATCGAAATTGCATTAAGAATTAATTGTGTTTATTGACAGATTGATGCATCGACAGCTTCCGTATTTAGCCCACCATAACATTCATCTGATTAATTATTAATAACTAGCTTGTGTAACGGAAATTTTTCTTTATTTGTCTTATTTATATATTATTTCTGTATAAATTTTGTGTTCTAAATATAGTTAGTACCTGATTACCTCATTATAACGTAATTTTCCCCAAGCGGTAAGAAATGTACTTTTCGACCTATTCTTATACTCGAAAGTTAATAAAATAAACCATTAACCAGTATTCGAGCCGATTCGGAAAAGTGTGTTATGTATTCATATGTATTTTAAAACCATGTATTACCCCATGGTGCTGCGTTCTCATTCCAAACACTACAATATACATGGAGAAAACCTTAGGTGAAGCAAAATGTGTTCACATCAAATAGGAAAGAGATACAAACACCACTTAGAATTAATAATAAATAGGAAAAAGGTAGGTCTTAGAAATCAACTTACAGCAACCCTGCGTGTCTTCATTGAAGGTTGTGGCGTAAGCCTGTGGTGCAGTGGTTCATAATATACATACCTCAAAGGCTGTATCACCACCACTTATAAGGAAACGCATTAGACAATGGGCGGAAGTTAATCTTCAGATGAAACTTTAGCATGTTCGCGCGTTATACAAAAAAGTTTTGTTAACGCTGGAAGCATTCTTAATGAGTAATTTTCGTTTAGGTTTAACGACCGTTTCAAATTAATCCTGATCCTGTCGTTTTAAAGTCAATGACCGAATGTTGTGATCTACTTTTCCATTTCAACAACAAACACTTTGGCTATTTTTCTTCGCGAGGGTCTAACTTTTCTTCAGGTCAATGAACCTCCATGGAATTTAATTTTCGAATGTGGGTTACGTTCCTACTGCTGTCAACTGACACGCACAAAATGTACAATGTGTAGAAAAGGTCACATTTGCTAAGTTACTCCATATGAACTCAAATCTAAACTATTAGATTAGTAAATTTTTCACAAAAGATACTTATAACTTCAGGTACAAGTCTTTGTTATATAGGAAAAAGTACTCCTATTTAATTGTTTAATAATTAGTATACCAGCTTTTTACCCATTGTTAATCAAGTTACATAACTATAACATTATTCTTAATAAATCAGACTGAAATATTGTTCCTCAAAGCTACAAAGTGTCCACCAAGATAAAATATAACTATACATTTAATTAACTATACATCAACTAACTTAATATCAATATATAATACATAATGTCGAAAAGTATTCGATAAAAAATGGATTGCTTTAGTAGGTTTTGACAACCTCGCAAGTATCAGCCTTATATGAGACGAGGTTTGGAGATAGAACCGAATTTGAAACCAGGATAACTAATCGCCATTGTTTAATCCACATATACATTTAACGCTGTTTAAGTTTATAAGTATATAAATATATAAGATTCGACTTGCTCTTACTAAAATATAATTTCGTTTTAGACTCCAAAAGGTCATTCCCCTTTACCTAAGGTCCCTCACATCTTAGGGAAATTCCTCTAAAGTTTCCCGTTTTTATTTAATTTACAGGAACTTGTACCAATATTGACTTGAACTACTTCCTGGTAAGGGTATAGGTTCAACGAACGGAACCTTTTAAAGGGGTCAAATTAATTTATATTCCATACAGATGTGAATTAACTAAAGGGCCGATTGACCCTCATAATTTTTAAAAGGCTGTTCACTGGCTAATTATGGTTTTTATTGCTTTTAACTTATTACGTTTAAAGAGCAGTTTTTATGTACGAATTTAAAATTATATTTTTCTTAATATAACAGGGCAAACGGGTAGGAGCCTCACCTGATCTTAAGTGAGATCGCGGCCCATGGACAAGCTCAATGCCAGAGGGCTCGCGAGTGTGTTGCCGGCCCTTTAGAAATTGGTACGCTCTTTTCTTGAAGGACTGGGAATTGGTTCGGAAATACTCCAGAAACATATTGATCTGGCTGAATTAGCTAGCAAAACTTTTGTGTAGGTTGCCTTATTAATAAGTTGATATTGATTAGTAGTTTGTTTTACACCCAGTCATTTAAAGTGTACTATGGAAGAAGTTTTAGGTGCGTTCTACGTGAAGTACTAAGACATTTTTATAAAGTCTGGGTGGTTAAGTCAATATTATTATATCTAAGTTCGTTGACCATGAATTTCTTTAACAACCGAAAATTTACATCATGTGTTTTTCAAAAGCTATTTGAACGTATTCTATTTATATCGCAAGCTATTTTATAAATAGACAAAACTACACAAAAAATCAACAAAAATAAAATATATTTAATATCAAAATCATCTATTCACACGCTTGATATATCCTGTGATATCATTATGACTTCGCGCGCCAGTCTTGACACTTTCGTCAGATTCCTCTTCTATTGGCACCAAGGATGAATGACCCGTACATTCACATGTTGAATTAAAATTTGCTTTAGATACATCGCGTTTATATTTACGAAATACGCCCATTACACGTGAAAAAATTCCCTTTCTTGGCTTCGGATAGGGCAAGATTTGGTCGAACGATAAAGATTCCTTCAAATGTGAAGTGAAATCACAACAACTTTGCGTTCCCTGTTCAGTTTGCGCTTTTTCTTCTAGGCGTTTTTTGAGGAAATGCACGCTTGCAGTGTAGAAAAGATTACAATCTTTTATGGCTGGGTCCACCGCATCGTCGGTACTTTTTGAGCAAGAAGCTACAGGAAACTGCTGTTGCATTCCGCAAATTTGTGTGTTGATTGCATTTTTACGTCGATTAATCACAATAAATTTATACAAAATTTAGCAATGTATTAAAATGACAATCTATTATTCATAGTTCACAGAGCCTTGTCAACGGCAATAAACAATATAGAGCGTTTACAACCTGTCTTTAAATAAAGTTTGTATGTAGATAAAAAATTTTTAATTAAAATTGGAAATTTTGACATGTCAAATTCTTCCTCATCTTTTAAAAGGCCTTTGACGCATAATAAGTATAGTTTTAAAATATAGTAAGGTTATTTTATTATTAGATGAATTCCGGAGTAGTGTTGGCGTAGTGGCTTTGCGTGCGACTTTAAACCCTGTGGTCGTGCGTTATACATTGTACTTATTTCACACGCTTACTACGTACGTACTTATTTCACATGCTATTGGTATTTAGTCCAAAACCAATCAAAATATCACCTTCCTGGGAAAAAACGCAGTACTTTCAGATTTCACTTAATAAATAAAAAATGCGAGGAATTGAACAACGGCAGTGGATACGGATTTTGTAAAACATTATAAAACAAACTATTCAATTTTGGCGCGAAATTCCCTGCGTTAACAGTTCATCCGGTCAAAGACCTCGTTCTATGTCTAGTCCACTATAGGTTATATTAAGGACATTCCCGAAGTTCCCGCAAGCTGATTCCGGTAGACGCGGATGCTATAAATCTCTCGCATTCCGACAACCAAACCTTGTGAATACGAATTCCTATTAAAATGACTCTGTCACCCCTCGATTTCTAATTGACGAAATTTACAATAGTTTCGTCGATTTCCAATACAATTCGTGTTCCAAATAATGGAGCACTGATACATACAAAAATCTATCGCAGTTTTCCTGTTTCAAGTTATTGTTCCGGCTAAGGTTTATTTCCGCAAGATTATCAGAATTTAATCGTATAAAAGGGTTGTTGCCCTATTAATTAAGATCTCAATTATTTTGTGTAACTCGGGGTAACTAAACTCTCTTGAAAATCGTCTACTTTCTGAAGTGTCCTCTGCTTCCGTTTAAAGCTTTAAGATATTAGGTCCTTACATATGAAATTGGCGTTTTGTATGGGAGGAACAAAAAGTCGAATATTTTTAAATACAATATATTTCATTAATCAAAGTATGAACCATTGTTTTCTATGCACTTTTGCCATCCCATAGGTAGTTCATTGATCCCTTTACTAAAAAAAACCAGCCGGACGGGAATCAATAAAATCTGTGAAGGCGATTTGGACTGCCCCATTAGAGTTAAATTTTTTCCCTTGCAAGAAGTTGTCCAAATTTCGAAAAAAAATGGTAATCTGTTGGAGCAAGGTCCGGGGAGTACGGAGGATGTCTTAAACATTCCAATTGAAGCTCTTGTAATTTGGGAGCAGTCTGTTGTGCAGTGTGTGGTCTAGCGTTGTCGTGAAGTAGCAGTGGCGTGGAGCGATTGACCAGCCTAGGTTGTTTAGCCGCTAGCTTTTCCATCATGGTTTGCAATTTCTGACAATAGACATCAGCCTTAATAGTCTGACCAGATTTGAGAAAACTGCAATGAACAATACCGGCACTAGTCCACCAAACGCTTACAAGTAACTTTTTTGGGGTTAATTTTCGCTTGGGGCAGGATTTGGCTGGCTGGCCAGGATCCAACCATTGCGCTGAGCGCTTCCGATTATCGTAAAGAATCCATTTTTCATCACAGGTAATTATTCGGTTTAAAATACCTTCATTATTGTGCCGGTTCAGTAATGAAACGCAGCAGTCGACGCGCGTTTGCCGGTTTGCTTCAGTCAATTCGTGAGGTACCCATCTTTCAAGCTTTTTAATCTTCCCAATTTGCTTCAAGTGAATTAAAACAGTTTTATCACTAACACCGCAGCCTGCAGCTAACTCGGACGTGGTTTGCGATGGATCCGCTTCCACAATAGCCTTCAATACTTCATTATCAACTTGGGTATCAGGCCGTCCACGGGGCTTGTTCTGCAGGTCGAAATTTCCAGAACGAAAACGTTGGAACCAAAAACGAACTGTGCTTTCTTTTGCAACATGACCGCCATACACATCATTCACCCTTCGAGTTTCCGCAGCACTAGTGCCACGGCGGAACTCGTACTCGTAAATAATGCGATACTTTAAGTTTTCCATTTTGTAAAATGAGTGACGCAAACAGAAAAAAAACAGAAGAAAAAACAAATGAATGATGGTCATCGAAGCACAAATACATGAGTAAATAGCTGTACAAATTTGAATTTGGAATTCCTTACCAAAGAGGAGAACATCGTGATTAAAGTGGCCAGTACGAAATACGCCAATTTCATATGTAAGGACCTAATATTAATATCGTCATAGTTAAGTGCCAGTTCGAGTTTGAATCGTGGATCTTAAAACGTATGTGCAGTAAGTCTTAAACAGTGGCGCTACAACATTTTAGGTCTGCGCCTCAGGTCGATCAGATGGTTCGATCTGATAATTTTTACCTTTTTCTAATAAACAAGTAGGTGATCAGCCTTCGACACCCGCTGTGGACTTTTTGGGTCTAAAACGTGCCGGTTTCCTCACAAAGCTTCACCACGCAAGTGGTAAATGCTTATATAGACAGAAAGTCATTAGTGCACAGATGAGGTTCAAACTCAGAGATAAGGGTCACACGCTGAAGCTACTAGGCCAACACCGTTCGAAGGCTTGGAGTTGTTAAATTAAGGGTTCAATATTTCTGTGATAGTATAAACAAAACAAGAAATGTTGACATTCGTAAAAAAACAAAACTTAAAGATGTACACACTCTAAGGCTTAAATGGAAATGGGCAGGTCATATTACTAGAGCGGGGGAAAAAAGATGGACACTAGAAATAACAAAATGGACTGGACCTGCGCGACCAGCGTGGCGGTGCAACCAGTATCATTCTGTGCACGCGTCCGAGTTGGTCGCGCCGCCAAATTGGTTGCGCAACCAACGGACACCAGGTGAGTAACTCTCTATAGAGCTGTATGCATTTTGTTGGTAGCGGCGACTGGTTGCGCCGCCGTGGTGAAATATAGGCCTTAACCCTCCACAGAAGCGGAAGCAGATGAAAATAGGTAATAAAACAATTGTTATTCTATCTATAAGCTTATTTATTATTTGCAAACTCCGTAATTCAAAAGTTCAATATACGTACACATTTTAGGAATTTAAAAAAAATCTCAAGCGCGAACCCGGTCAAAAACAACAATTAATAATCCCAGCAAAACTAATATAAAATATCCAAAAGGGAACTCTATGCCAACACTAAAATGGCGTTAACCTAATAGAGCTATTGCATCGGTAAAAATATTTAAACTGGCTAAATGTACGAAAGCCAACAAAACAACTTAACTCAAGACTAATGTTGAAATTCCGGAATTTTCTTTGAGTCTTTAAGTCTTATAGCTAATAGATAAGAAAGTGTCTTTTTAAAACTAAATACAATTTTTTTCTATTTACAATATAAAATATTTAAAAATATGGTTTTATAATAGCGCCATCTCTTGTGGCGGTACGTAAGTGAAATGAATGATCTCTACGAATAAAATATGGTATTTTTCTTATAGCTATTCAAATTGGTATTTTGATATTTAATCTACCAATTTGATATAATATATTTTTATCACAGGCCTTTGACGAATATAGCTTTAACTTAATTTAATTCCTTTTATTACTATACTCTGATTTTTAATTCCGTAGAATTCTGACAACCATTATTTTTTGACATTTCACAAGGGCAAATTTTTCAATTTCAACACGAGTCTGACACTATAAAAACATTTTGTTTGTTAGTGAATGTATCCATTTTATTAAGTGCGGTGCTCCACATTAAAATTGGTTTTACGGCGACTGACAATTACGCCCCTTGTCTTCACAGACAGTAAAAAACCCACAAGTAAAGATAAAAAATGTTTTTTTAAAAAGGTAACTAAACCTGGAATTAATAGGCAGTGATGCCAGCTAAAGATTAGAATAAATTAATTCGATATATTGTTCGTGATATTGAAATATTTGTTATTTTTGTATCAGGTCACTTGAGTAAGTAAATATTAAGATTTACCTTTTTGTAGGTAAAACATAAACAATGCGTAGCATTTTATGTTATTGCCCTCTAATGGTCAAATTTGTCCCTTTTTCGGTGGAGAACTTTTATAGTAGCAACATTTTATTAAATGTCAGAATTCTACGAAATTAAAAATCAGAGTATACATACTTATATCTTATGCTAACTAGTTTTTACGGTATGTACAAAATTTGCATATAAAATAATGTATTCCGTAATGGACGCTTAAACTGAAAAAAAAAACAATTTCTTAAGCTAAAACACAAACTCAACCAAAACTTGATAAAAACCTTTTGTTAACTAAATCCAGTAATTCCAATGTATCAACAGAAATAATTTATTTTAATTTTCTCAGATTTACAGCTATAAGTTTTAACGATTATAAAATAATCTTGTCTTAGATACATTAGATTTATAAGTATAACAATGGTCAACAATAGTTATTGTTATAAGTTATCTAATTAAAAGCCTTCAAAGCTCACATATAATTAAAATAATATTTAAGGATAACTCTACGTTTACGCGGCCATCAATTCCAATGTATAGGTACCAACACTACCAGAACTGTATAAAAAAATTAGGTACTAAATAAACCATCAAATTAAAGTACCAAAAGAATTTTTATTACTTATTTTATGTATTATATTATTAAATATAAAATAGTATTAAATATAAATTATAATACTAGTAATACAGGACACTTAAAAGAACTAAAATCTAACACTTTTTATACTAATAAAATAAATCATCGTCGCTACAACATTTTTAGATCTGGGCTTCAGATATCTGTATCTGTTTCATGATCATTTGTCAACCTAATAGGAAAGTAAGTAATCAGCCTCATGTGCCTGACACACGCCGCCGACTTTTTGGGTTTAAGGCAAGCCGGTTTCCTCACGATGTTTTCCTCTACCGTTCAAGCGAATGTTAAATGCGCACATAGAAAGAAGGTCCATTGGTACACAGATCGAACCTATAACCGCAGGGATGGAGTTGCACGCTGAAGCCTCTAGGCCAACACTGCTCCTCATTTGTACTAATATAACTGGATTTTCTCCTCACGAAGTCGCCTAACAACCTCCGAACCAATTTCTTCTTCACGAAACTTATAGCCGCAGCCTATAACTTCTTTGGCGACGGTGTAGTTATTTCGTAGAGACTCCAGCCAACCTGTATAGTTAAAATCTGGCCAGACACCACCATACCTCTCTGGTAAGTACTCTGGGCGGATGTGCTTGTGAAGAGATGTGACGTCATATCCGTGAAAGAAGATTCTAGATCGCATATCTCTTGTCAAAAACGGCTTGAATATGTTGTACATTTTATCGAAGACCCAGGAATGGTTTATAATGTGTATGGCGTGGGTGTTAGCGGGGAAGCTAGTCTGAAAGAAGGAATTCAAAATTAGTTTTCGTTTTATTTAGTCCCGAATGGACATCTTAAAATATATGTCGCAGCCAACTAGCTTAATCAGCCGTTCAAGTAACTGGCTGAACTTTCAGGACGTCAGTTAAACGGTTAGGCAAATGACTTGGATCAATGACGTTTCATTACTTGGCTAGCCTGTTAATTAAAATTTAGTTCCACATCTAGCAGCTAGCGTCAAAACTCTTCAAACTGTCAATATGGCGTCCAAAGATAACTTTAATGGTGTTTTCCAAATTTTAATTAAAAAAAAAGTACAATGGAAGAAGAGAGATGCAGTGTGAATAATAATGTGAATTTGGGTAACGATTTAAAATAAGTTGCCCGAATTTGATTGGAACACTAACTGCGTCTAAGTATTAAAAAAAATATTTAAAATTTTGTGTAATGTATTAAAATTTGTAAACAAACCGAACATTTTATACTTTTCTATTGGTTATTAGAGATGTGACATGCTGCGTAAAAAATCGATTTATAATTAATCGATTGTTTTTTTAGCATGAAAAGATTTTCTTATATTTATCGATTATTTTCTAATTTTTGCATTTTAAGTTTTAGAATAATCAACATTGAAATTAACCAAATTTCATGTTGATAGATTTTATTTAATACATTGGCTTAGTAAGGATAGTGTACCTAAGTATTTTTATGAATAAATCTTATAACGGCTACAGACAGCAAAGTTATTTAAATAAAATCTATCAACATTGAAATTAACCAAATTTCATGTTGATAGATTTTATTTAATACATTGGCTTAGTAAGGATAGTGTACCTAAGTATTTTTATGAATAAATCTTATAACGGCTACAGACAGCAAAGTTATTTATTACATATAAACATATACGTATGTTCCACAATACACAAGTCCCTTCGTTTTGTATAGTGGATGTTAGCAGTCTAACATTAGATTCGATCGCAGTATCCCGATCATTTTCATTTTCAAGGGAATGATCACCCGAGGGAAGCGAAAATGCGCTCCTCAGATTTAAAAAATATACGATTTTTGTTTTATATTATATAACAGGCAAACTGGCCGGAGGCGCATCTTATGTTAAGATATACCGCCGCCCATGGACACTCACATTGCCAGAAGGCTCGCAAATGCGTTGCCGGCATTTTAAGAATTGGTACGTTCTTTTCAGTGTCTTACCACTAACAGCTTGACGATTTTAGATGCAAGAGAAGGTGTGACTTGCCACGCGTGCTGTATACCAATATCTTCCAGGTCAAACATGGCGACTCCTCCCAAAATCTGAGTACGAATCTCCATAACACCAATCTCCAGTGCAAATATTGTAGCCTTTAATAAATCATCCACTGCTATTGTTTTTGTATTCCAACAACCTGTAAGAATACTCGTACATTCTTTCACAGGTCGACATAGTCGTAGAATAGTGACGGATCTGACAAAATATAGTAAACTTTACAGGGCAGCCATTTCAAAATAATATAATCATGTTACTTTTTCGTCATAACTTTTTTAATTCATATTCTGTTATTATGAAAATTGGCGACAAACAACAGGGTTTATTTTGAAACAAAATAAAAATAATAACATTAAAATACACAGT